CATGCGGCCGTGCAGGTCTCTGGCACTTGTATTGGAGAGAGCCAGGGACACCGCATGTGTGCAGTGTCAGCAAGTAGATGACCTGCTAAAGCAGGTGGTTGAACTGAGGGAGGATGTTGAAAGGTTGAGAGCTATCAGTGTGAAAGTGAAATTGATTGGTGGAGCCACACCCTAAGGCAAGGGCAGAGGGAAGTGGCTGAACAAGTGATAGATCCCCTTCCCTCCTACCATCAGACAGAAGGAGTAAACTTAAGGGACAAGGAAGTATGGAGGGAGGTCCCTCCTAGGAGAGGTAAGCGAAAACCCTCACAATTCCTTCCTTCCTCCCAGTTGCCCTTGAGTAACAGGTATGAGGTCTTGGAACTACAGGGCCAGGTAAATGGAGATGGAGGGGTAGATCCATCTAGTGAGTCACCTAGGGCTTGCCACTCACCCCCATGCCTTAGAACTTCCTCAACCAAGAAGAAAAGAAGAGTAATTGTGGTGGGTGACTCCCTTCTGAGGGGAGCAGAAGGGCCCATTTGTCGACCTGATCCATCCCCCAGGGAAGTCTGCTGCCTAACTGGGGCTCGGATTGGAGATGTTAAAAGGAAACTCTGATCTGGTGCAGCCCTCTGACTACTATCCGCTGCTGGTTTTTCAGGTTGGCAGTGATGAAATTATTACAAGCAGGGCAAGGGCAATGAAGAGAGACTTCAGGGCCCTGGGACAGCTGGTTAGAGGGTCTGGAGCACAAGTGGTGTTTGCCTCCATACCTGTTACAAGCAAAAGTGAAGAGATAAATAGGAAGAGACTGCAGATCAATATATGGCTATGGGACTGGTGCCAAAGGCAGGGGTTTGGGTTTTTCAATCATAGGCTGCTATATGAGACACCTGATTTGCTGGTGGGATACATCAGTCCCAGAGGGGGAGAAGGTTTCTGGGGCAGGAGTTAGCAGGGCTCATTGACAGGGCTTTAAACTAGGTAGGAAGGGGAGATAACTGGGCCTGTTGGGGACAAGCCCAAGAGAAACATGCTAGGGCTTGAAGAATGGCAGACTAGGGAGAACTCTCAGTCTATTGTTTCATTTGAGGGAAAGGGTAGTTGTTTAAACCCTGTCCTGCAGGTGAAAAAGGGTACCTGGGCAAGAGTTAATAGAGCTCACTCACAGAGCTCTAGGTTAGATTCGAAGTGCGAGGGGGTTGTAGCTGGGTTTGAACTAGTGGGGCAATATTCTAGTATGAATGAAGACCAGAAGGCCTCCCGCCTTCCAAGGGTGCCACTAGCGTGCTCAGCTCGCTCCCTGAAATGCCTGTACACCAATGCACGCAGCATGGGGAATAAACAGGAGGACTTAGAAGTCTGTGTGCAGTCTAAAGGTTATGACCAGGTGGCAATTACAGAGACATGGTGGGACAGCTCACATGACTGGAATGTGGTTATGGATGGCTATGTCCTTTTTAGGAAAGATAGATCAGCAAAGCGAGGTGGTGGAGTTGCTCTTTATGTGAAAGAGAGACTAGAATGTATTGAGTTCTGTCCAGGGGCAAATGAGGACCAAGTGGAAAGTCTGTGGGTGCGAATTAAGGGACAGGCTGGTATGGGTGGCGCAGTTGTGGGGGTCTATTATAGACCTCCTGATCAGGACGAAGGAGTTGAGGATCTTGTGTGTGAGGAATAGAAGACCTAGCAAGGCCACATTTCTGGATTTCCAAAGGGCAAACTTTGGCCTCTTCAGTCAATTGCTAAGGGAAGTATCATGGCAAAGGGTACTAGGTGGTAAAGGGGCTCAAGATAGTTGGTCAGCATTCAAGAACCACTTCTTCAAAGCTCAGGATCAGAGTGTCCCAATGAGTCGGAAGTCAAGTAGGGGAGCCAGGAGACCATCATGGTTAAACAAGGAACTGCTGGGCAAACTCGTACGGAAAAAGAGAATCTATGGATTATGGAAGGAGGGGCTGGCCAGTTGGGAGGAATATAGGACAGCTGTTAGAGGATGTAGGGAATCAATTAGGACAGCTAAGCCCTCCTTGGAACTTAATCTGGCAAATCGGGTCAAGGACAATAGAAAGGGCTTCTTCAGATACATTGCGAGTAAAACTAACACAAGAAGCAGTATAGGCCCACTGCTGAATGAGGTGGGTGCCCTGGAGGTAGAGGATGTAAAGAAGGCAGAGGTGTTGAATGCCTTCTTTGCCTCTGTCTTTACTCCTGCAGACTCTCCCCGGGGGACCCAGATTCCTATAGCCCCAGAAGGAGCCAGGATAAAGGAGGAGTGTGCTTTGGTAGATGAGGATTGGGTTAGGGATCAGTTAAGTAATCTGGACATCTATAAATCAATGGGTCCGGATGGAATACACCCGCGGGTGCTGAGGGAGCTGGCGGATGTCATTGCTGGGCCACTCTCCATCATCTTTGGTAAGTCGTGGGAAACAGGAGAGGTGCCTGAGGATTGGAGGATGGCAAATGTCACGCCGGTCTATAAGAAGGGCAAGAAGGAGGACCCGGGTAATTATAGACCGGTCAGGCTTACCTCCATCCCCGGAAAGGTGATGGAACAACTTATTCTCGACACCATCTCTAGGCATATCAAGGATGAGGGGGTCATTAAGAGCAGCCAACATGGCTTTACCAAGGGGAAGTCATGTTTGACCAACCTTATAGCCTTCTATGAGCAAGTAACTAGGTGGATGGATGGTGGTAGAGCGGTAGATGTGGTTTTTCTTGATTTCAGTAAGGCATTTGATACTGTCTCCCACAGCATCCTCATAGATAAGCTAAGGAAGTGTGGGCTTGATGATCAGGTAGTGAGGTGGATCAAGAACTGGTTGGAAGGAAGAAGGCAGAGAGTTGTGGTCAGTGGGGCAGAATCTAGCTGGAGGTCTGTGGCTAGTGGAGTCCCTCAGGGGTCAGTGCTGGGACCAATGCTGTTTAGTATTTTCATCAACAACCTGGATGAGGGAACTGAATGTACCCTCAGCAAGTTTGCTGATGATACTAAACTGGGAGGAGTGGCTGACACACCAGAGGGCTGTGTTGCCATTCAGCGAGACCTGGACAGGCTGGAGAGTTGGGCGGGGAGAAACTTGATGAAATTCAACAAGGGCAAGTGTAGAGTCTTGCATCTGGGGAAGAACAACCCCATGTACCAGTACAGGTTGGGGGCTGACCTGCTGGACAGTAGTGAAGGGGAAAGGGACTTGGGGGTCCTGGTGGATAGGAGGATGACCATGAGCCAACAATGTGCCCTTGTGGCCAAGAAGGCCAATGGCATCCTAGGGTGCATTAGAAAGGGTGTGGTTAGTAGGTCAAGAGAGGTTCTCCTCCCCCTCTACTCTGCCTTGGTGATTCCGCATCTGGAATATTGTGTCCAGTTCTGGGCCCCACAGTTGAAGAAGGACAGGGAATTGCTTGAAAGAGTCCAGCGCAGAGCCACAAAGATGATTTAAGGGAATGGAACATCTCTCTTATGAGGAGAGGCTGAGGGAGCTGGGACTCTTTAGCTTGGAGAAGAGGAGACTGAGGGGTGACCTCATCAATGTTTACAAATATGTAAGGGGTGAGTGTCAGGATGATGGAGCTAGGTTTTTTTCAGTGATGTCCAGTGATAGGATAAGGGGCAATGGGTGTAAACTGGAGCATAGGAGGTTCCATGTGAACATCAGGAAAAATTTCTTTACTGTGAGAGTGACAGAGCACTGGAGCAGGTTGCCCAGGGGGGTTGTGGAGTCTCCTACGTTGGAGATATTCAAGGCCCGCCTGGACAAGTTCCTGTGTGATGTACTCTAGGTTACCCTGCTCTTGCAGGAGGGTTGGACTAGGTGATCTTTTGAGGTCCCTTCCACCCCTTGGGATTCTGTGATTCTGTGAAATGGCAAAAGCACCCTAGTGTGACTGGTCCATGCATCCTCGGCATAGACTACCTAAGGAGAGGGTACTTCAAAGACCCAAAAGGGTACCAATGGGCTTTTGGTATTGCTGCTTTGGAGACTGAGGAAATTGAGCAGTGTCCACCTTCCTGGTCTCTCAGAGGATCCTTCTGTTGTGGGGTTGCTGAAAGTCGAAGAACAGCAAGTGCCAATTGCGACCACAACAGTGCACCAGCAGCAATATCGCACCAACCGAGACTCCCTGATTCCCATCCATCAGCTGATCCGTAGACCGGAGAGTCAGGGAATGATCAGCAGGACCCGCTCGCCCTTTAATAGCCCCATATGGCCAGTACAAAAGTCTAATGGAGAATGGAGACTAACAGTAGACTATCGTGGCCTGAATGAAGTCACACCACCATTGAGTGCTGCCGTACCGGACATACTACAACTTCAGTATGTGTTAGAGTCAAAGGCAGCCAAGTGGTAGGCCACGATTGATATTGCCAGTGCATTTTTCTCAATTCCTTTGGCAGCAGAGTGCAGGCCACAGTTTGCTTTTACTTGGAGGGGCATCCAGTTCACTTGGAACCAACTGCCCCAAGGGTGGAAACACAGCCCTACCATTTGCCATGGACTGATCCAGACTGCACTGGAACAGGGGCAAGCTCCAGAACACCTGCAATACATTGATGACATTATTGTGTGGGGCGATACAGCGGAAGAAGTCTTTGAGAAAGGGAGGAAAATAATCCAAATCCTGCTGAAAGCCGGTTTTGCCATAAAACGGAGTAAGGGCAAGGGACCTGCACACGAGATTCAATTTTTGGGAATAAAGTGGCAAGATGGATGTCACCAGATCCCCACAGATGTGATCAACAAGGTAACAGCAATGTCTCCACCAACTAATAAGAAGGAAACGCAAGCTTTCGTGGGTGCTGTGAGGTTCTGGAGAATGCACATCCCAAATTACAGTTCGATTGTAAGCCTCTCAATCAGTGACCCGGAAGAAGACTGATTTTAAATGGGACCCTGAGCAACAACAAGCCTTTGAGCAAATTAAATGTGAGATAGCTCACACAGTAGCCCTTGGACCAGTTCGATTCGGGCCAGATGTAAAAAACGTACTCTACACTGCAGCTAGGGAGAATGGTCCTACCTGGAGCCTCTGGCAAAAAGCTCCAGAAAAATATTGCCATATCTAATGAAGCAAATGACAAAGAAGTGGGGTTGAGGTTTGTCTTCAGCTATTATATTTAAGTCCTGATCTCCAATCCTGTGGTCAGATTTCTGTGCCATTAGATTTGTAGTGAAAAAAAGCCTGTCATGTTTTTAAAGTAATTGTCAATTCTATTACTGAATAAGCTAGCAGAAATGAAATCAGTTTCCCTGAATATCCAAGTGACATTATTCTGGAAACTCTTTGTGAATGTTGCCTTAAATCTGTTAAAATCCCCTTTTTCTTTTTTTTTTTTCTTTTCCATTGCAAGAGTGATAAACTTGTTCATAAAATTATTTTGCGTGAGGTATACCTTTATATAAATTCACAGCAGGAGAGAGTGCAGAAGTGATCATGGTCTAAACAGCACAGGGTGAAAAGGAAGCTGAAGCTCAGTATTACTGAAATGTCGGAGGTCACATACTGGGATCCAAGAATGAAGCTTATCTCTTCCTCAGTGAACGCTCCTTTTTTCTTGAAGCTTCGTTGAGGAATTAAACAAGTCCCAGGTACTTCTAGTTCTGCTTCCAGAATTCATGAGGCTGCCAAAGCAGATTTTGTAACTATTCCTAATATCTCATTTCTGATGCATCTAATGTCCCTATCTTGTAGGAGTGCTTTAAAAATAACCCCCTCATAATAGTGAAAAAAGCTAGCACAGGCTCTGTGTAGTGGGAGATTTCAAGCAATAGGCAGAATGGGGCCCACAAGGAACAGTGTTGCTGGAAATAAAGCACTTGACAACCAGGTTTTTTGCATTGCCCAGATTTTCTACAGAAATCAACTTTTTCACTTTAAACTGCTATTAACATAATAGTTGCTTGTATCCTGATTTGTTTATGTACAGAAACTTAAAATTACTGTAGTCCAGCGTTTCCAAATATTTTGAGGGAGCCACTTGTGTGGCTCAGAGTATCTGACTTTGCCCTCAGGTTTGCAGGAAATTGCCAGAGACAGCAGGGTTGCATGTGGTGTTTCTACCTAAGGATTATATGAAAGATGTCTTGAAGATGTTGTGAATTATTTGCATTACTTGTCTCTGTCAAAATTCCCCCCAAAATCATAACAGTCTGCTTACAATCATCTTTTAATTTATAATATATTTGAGATGTTACTTTTTGAAATTTTATAAATACATCCTTGGTGTGTTTCCTAAAATCTGCTCTTGGAAAATATAACTTACCTAATTAATTCTGAATAGGTCTAAATTAATATATGGAACTAGCCTTAGAATTTAAAATGCTGCAGTTGTTTTAGTAAGAGACATACACACTTATCTGCACTGTCACTTAAACTCTCTGTTCTCCAAATTACCTTATACTGTGTTAAAATTACTATTCAAGCTACCGCTTAGTTTGACTAATCAGGTTAATGGATTTAAAAATCGGCTTCAAAGATGACAGGTAGGTGGAGCAGAAACATCACACTGCTATGTAAATCCAAATTAAGATTGTAAAAGTAAAAAGGCCAGACTATGAGAGTCAGATTTTTTTCTGCAGTAATCTGTCAGTTTAAGGGTGCTTCTGCTGCATATCTTTAGTGTGAGTTCTCCAAAATGTACATCTCTGCGTGTTTTATAGAAGAAACAGGCAAAATGAAGCATCAACATTGCACATTTTTATTTACTAATTCTAGCCATATATAATTGTAGCAGGTGATTACTGCTTATTACTGGGGAAAGATTATTTGGGAAAACACTTGAAATTGTATTTGAGTTCTGATTAGATTAACTTACCATCTTTGCAGACAAAGTGTAGTGTTTCTGTGAAAAGGGGAAAAAAAAAAGAAAAGTCCTTCTACTTGGGTAGTTTTTAGACCATCTGTGATTCATAATTGAGAGCCCTTTAAAATTTGGTACACCTGTAAGAGCTATATCTGGATTTGGAAATCTGTGTCTCAATTTCAGTGATACTAGATATTCTAGTACCTTCTTAAAGATCTGGATAATTACCTATCCCATAAAAGTTCTAATTGGTATTATATTATTCAGCAGTTTTGCTGGCAGAGTTACTTTCCTCTGTCTTAAAAGCCAGTTTAGGAATGCATCTGGAAGAGCTCCCTAGGACTAATGCAGTGAACACATGATACAACCACACTGCTGAAATTGTCTCTCTAGATACAGAAGAGCTTTAGCCTGATACTCTTCAATCCTCTAAATATCAGTGTGGAGCACTTGGCTTATGTCAGCAATTTGATATTTTTAGTGCCCTGGAAATGCTTCTTCAATGGTTCAGGACACAAATGTATGAGGAACTACTGTGCCATTTACGTTTAAACCCATTCCCCGTTGTCCTATTGCTACAGTCCCTAATCAAGAGTCCCTCTCCAGCATCCTTGTAGATCCCCTTCAGATACTGGAAGGCTGCTATGAGGTGTCCATGCAGGCTTCACTTCTCCAGGCTGAACAGCCCCAGTTTTCTCAGCCTGTCATCACTGGGCTCAGTCCAGCAAGCTGAATTCAGCTGCAGCCTTGTGCAGTTGGAGAGACCTGCTGGCCCTCATTTCTTTGCACTTCAGTGCATAGTTGAGACAAGAGCTCTCGTTTGTTCTTAAATGTCTGACTCATCTGCAGCCTCATAATACAAACTGATTCAGAGTTGTTAATGCTAGAAAGAGTAGAAAAATACTAAAGCAGAAACTCCAGGAAAGAATTACTGTAAGTTTCAGTCATGCAGTTATATATACTGTAGCATACGGGTGTGAATCTAGATTTCTTATTTAACACTGGGATGGCCTTAGGGAGTCAAATCTTCTATCAAAGCCTTACTTTCATGGGCACAGTATAAATTCAGAGGGAAAAAAGTTAATGCTCCAGAGACACTATAATAATCCTATTGAAAAAAAAAAACAAAACATTTTCCCATGCAGAAACATCCGTAATTTCTTCTTTGTATTCCAAAAGGAGCTGGTCCAGCAGTCTTGACTTTAACAAGATGCAAAAAAATATACATTGGATAATAAGTAGCGTAAATTCTGCAGATACCCTTGGTTTTACGTTTCTCCTACATACAATGTGGAAATCAAAGGAATTGAGATTTTCCAAGACCTTTCCAATTCTTACGTACCTGATGTAGTCCAGTAGTTCTTTCTGTAATATTGGAACATAGCAGATGCTTTAAAAGTTAAGTACAGTCAAGCTCATCATATAAAGGGTAGCTATGAGTTAATCTTTAAGTATATGTTTTTATGTTGCTGCATTTGTTATTGTCTGACTCAAAACCATTGAAACATAATGTTTTTTCTTCTCACTGAACATAGTAGATATTTCTGTGATCCATAGATCCTTATTTTTGAGTTCCATGTCTAGATGCTGTGGCAATGTGTTCTACTACTCCTGAGTTGTTTCTTCAGTGTTAGACTTGCTTGTGCATTGTATGTAGTGTTTGTCAGTCTCTTCAGATTTTCACTTGGTACTGCCTTTCACTAGCAGAAAACCAGAAATATTCCTGAATTAATATTGCTGTCAAATTACATGGCTAAAACAGAAATGACCTACAGTTTTATTCTGCAAGGGTGATTTGTTTCTCATTGAATCCGAAGGGTAACCTGCTTGTTATGAATTACAGAGGCTTTCATAAAATTGAGGCCCATGATTATAAAGAAGGAATATGCATGAGTAATTTGCAGTCGTGTAATGAAAGATTGCCATGGGAAACCATGTGGATCAACAGATGCTGAAACCCTTGCTATGATTCTTGACATATTTATATTTTACTTTCCTTCTGGATTTCTGACTCATGTTAACCTGAGATATTTGCGGATCTCCATGTATTGCAACAAAAATATTAACATTGCAGCAGATACTCAGTGGTAGTAATTTTAAATTAAAACAGTATGTATTCCATAAATCAGAAACATGAGTTTAATGTATGGGGTTTTTCTGTGTTTAACAGGCAATGATAAATTGAGCAACAGAGATTATGAAGTGTAGGTTTCTCTATATAGCTAGGAAGTGTTTCTGAAGAAAGCTGTTTATCTCTGTAAAGAGCAAATTTATTTGATGTTTATTTGATGTAGTGTTAAACCCATCTTCGTTACCTAGATCAGGCTTAGGAAAGGTACACAGTGATAAACATATGTCAAAAACAAAAAAAAAAAAAGGATGTAAACCCATTTACTTATTCCAGGTGTATGTAGAAAAGGTATAATGGATGGATATACATCGCAAAAATACATAAAAGCATGCAAAGAGTTGGTCTTTTAACTAAAGAGAGATTAGAATGTAAGAGATACTTGTGTAGTGTTTTAATGTTATATGATGCATATGTTCAGAGAAAGAAGTTACAAAAGAAGGTCGTTGAACACTTTTTCTGATAGGAGCACTGTGTTCTGTAGTACCAAATCTTGACAGTTTGTATGGTTTGAGAGGGCTTAGCTAATATGCTTTCATATAAACAGAGGCTTAAAGGGACTTCTGAAAAGCTAATCTTTTAAAAGCATAGTTGTATGATTATTACTCTTTCCAAAAAGATAGGCAGGAGGATAGGTGAGAGTATGGTCTGAGAGGTCCTTCAGCATATGGGGAAGTAAGCAAACTGTAGAATTTCTGTTGTAAGTTAACACAATGCATTTCAGCAGTTTCTTCTATTGTATGTGAGTTTTCTGAAAGAAAAGTATTTATTTGCAATAGCTTGCATTGTAACTGTGCATACGTGTTCTATGAAATGCACCACTTGTTTCCTTGTGAAGACTCAAAACCCCAATAATGATACTTTTGCTAAAGCAGTACTTTAAGACCTAAAACACAGGGTCAGTTAGTTAAAATCTTTTGTCTTTATCACTTTTTCAATCATTATTTTTTAAGTTCTGACTGGAACACTTGTATTTGTTCTTAGGAAAGATTTAAAATTTTCAGAGAGGTCATCTTTTCATCAAATGTCAGGGAAGCAGCATGACTGCTGTCTTTATTCAGCAAGTCCCTTTGAGCTGTTTTGGGGAGGTTTTTCTTAGTCATTTCATCTGGTTTCTGACTGTACAGAATTGTTCTACTTTTCTGTTCTCTTGACAGAGCTGAGC